CAACCAAAAAATGGCTACTTGGGAGGCTGAGACAGGAGACACACTTGAGCCCAGGAGTTGGAGGTTGCTGTGAGCTGTGATGCCACGGCACTCTACCCAGGGGGATAGCTTGAGGCTCCGTCTCAAAAAAAAAAAAAGAAATGGCATAATACAATATCCACATTACCAAGCACCCCATTCACGTATTTCATGGCTTTTTTCACTAATGACTGGCAGAATCAAGACCAAAAATTCAGATTAAAAACTCAGCTTAAACTCTTAAGAAGCTTTAAATTAATTTGTATTACCCAGAGCTGAAAAAATGAGGCAGCTCATTTCCTTCTTTTTCTTTTCTCTAGTAAAGTTGTTTTTTTCCAAACCATGCCAAAACTTTTTCCATTTACTAATATACATTTCTGGTTCCTCCCTATCTTTTCATAGCTTTGTTTTCTTAGCACTGAATATTGCATCAGATGTACCATAGTTTATCCATTCATTTACCAAAAACGACTTGGGTTCTAAGTTTCAACAATTATGAATTATGCTCCTGTGAATATCCATGTGCACATTTACACATGGTCTTAAGTTTTCAATACCTCTGGGAAAATATCAAGAAGCACAATTACTAGACGGTGTAATTAAAAACATCCTCAGTTTTGTAAGTAACTGCCCAATTGTATTCCAGCATGGCTATACTTTTTTCAACCCTACTGAGAGTTCCTGTAGCCCATCTCCTTGTCAGCTTTTGGGGTCATCAGTCCTTTAGATTTTTCACCATTCTAAGAGGTGGAGAGTGGTGTCTCCTTGTTGGTATAAGTACATAAAAAATTGTGGTAAAATACACATAAAATTTATCTTAAATCATTTTTAAGTGTACCCTTCAGTAATATTAAGTACATTCTTCCTGTGCAACAAACTTTCAGAATACTTCATCTTGTGAAACCAAAATTCTACACTCATTTTATTAATTTTCTAAGGCTGCCAAAACAAAGTGCCGCAGACTGGGTGGCTTAAACAGATACAGTAGAACTTCCATGACTGACCAACTCCCCCCACATTGACCATCTCCTTCAGTTGACCTAATTTTCATAGACCAGACATGCACCACATATACACAGCAGTTCAGTAGGCCTAGTTGCTTATACTGACCACCTCTGTATGTTGACCAGTTTGTTACAGTCCCTTGGGTGGTCAACTTCCAAAGGTTAGAATGTAAATATACACACATATATATACCACATTTTGTTTATCCTTTGATCCACTGATGGACATAGGCTGCTTCCACCTTTAAGCTACTGTGAGTAATGCACGGGTGTACAAATATCTTCTTGAAACTCTGCTTTCAATTTTTTGTATACCTATTCACCAGTAGAAGTGTCAGGCACTGAAGTCCTGGCTGTCTACCAGGACTTCCTACCTATCTTTTCTTAAGCTAATTTTACCCCCCAAATCTTCACCTGGTATTACAAACTAAAACCTTAGGGTAAATTATTTACCTTTCCAGGATGTATATTAATCAGGTTATCATAAATGGGTATGTGTCAGGGATTTGTCAGATAAGAAATACCATAAATACTTTATCACATTAATTCAATTATCATTCAAGTAATGTGTAACTTAAACAATTACAGTAAAAGAAATAAGCAATCTTGATACACATGTAGAAAGCTTCAAGGTGGCACCAAAATGGTAAATAAAACAGAGAAACTCAGTTACAAATTATATGTAAGAGGAATTTTCAAAACAACATGTAGACACAGTCGTGACTATCATAACAGTTCTTCAAATTCTTAGTTGGAAGTTAAAATTAAACTATTAATAGAAACCCATCTGTGAGTAATACCTTCATTTTCAGTGCAGGCACTCTGTACCTTCTCTTATACCATGGGTAGAGGGGTAAGAATAATTGTGCATTTTCCTTTACAAGATAGAATCTATGTCCTTACATAAATGAAAACCCAAGCTTATGTTTTAGGACTACTGAAAGGCAGAATAGCATACAGAAAAATAACAAATGGTCCATTTTCAAATCTTAGCTTTTACTTTCCACTATTATGTCCTCTGACAAGTTACTTAACCTATCTTGGCCTACTTAACCTAGCAGTTTCCTCAGCTGTGAAATGGGGCTATTAGGCTTAAACATCCACTATTGTTAAGAGGATAAAATTAGTTGATATATGTAAAATGCCCCTCATTTAGTAAGCTTTCAATAAGTGTTAGCTATTAACAGCATAAATTGGCAAACCACAGAGTTTGAAAGGACTGTGATGTTAACTTTTCATCTCACTAAAATAAGGAAAACCTAACTATTACTACAAATGAGACTACATGGTAGGGGTGAAGCTGGGCAGAGAATGAATAAAATCCTCTCAAATAACTTCCAATAGGTTTCTATACCCTCCTAATTGCTAAACTACACTGAACAGCTTCATTAAAACTGATTTGTTTCATTAATCTGGGATTTCATTTAGTTACATTACTAAGAAGAAATGTATCGCTGATACAGCATTACAGACTTATTCTCCAAAAGTATATATTCTAAGTTAGAAAAGAAATAGCACCTCTGAGTTCTTGGGACATTTATGGATATCTAGGGTATGTGGATATTCTATGTGAAAACTGATATAATTTTCTCTGTGTATCATATTCACAAAAATGCTCAAATGCTTCTTAAAGAAATGTCAAATGTATAGCTTAAAAGTATCAAAAAGTTATGCTGAACTAGATCTCCTCAAAAGATTACAAGAAAAAATATGTATAATTTCAAATTAGAGCCAATTTAAAATTGTGTAGGTCCGACTTCTACATGTATTATGAAAAATGTCTTAAAGATCTTTTATTATGGTATACAAAAAGAAACACTGGAAAGATTACAATGTTAAGATTTTTACATATATGTTACACATATATATAAATAAATGGAAAATATATGCAAATAAATAAAATGTATGGTTTTTCATCTATAGGTGGAAAGAATGGCACTCAAACTATTTTCTAGGAGAATAAAATCATTACTATCACAAGGCCGAATGTTACTGGAGAACCCTCTGACCTTTTAGGAAGGAGTTCTAGAATGAATGAAACAATGTTAAATATCAAAACCCACATCTTATTCACTGCCTGTCCCTTCTTGCAGAGCAATTAATGAAAATAGGAAAGTTTGATCGTATTCTGAGATGAGATGAAAAAGAAGCCCTCAAAGTTCAGCTCTCAGAGTTGTTTTATCTGTAAAAGCCCAAACTTCCCTGATTTCTTATACTCCAGATGATTTCTAGATTTTGATCAGCAGTTTACAATCTGTTTTGTAACAGCTTTCTCCACCTGACTTCATGTAAAACTCTTCAAACAAAATTCATTGTAATTCATTACAATTGAAATACTATATATACTATCCACTTTTAGGGCGGGAGAAGGGAAGGGGATGTAGGGCAAAAAAAAGACAATGGGGAATTTCCAGAGGTGAGGAACAATTCTACAAATCACTTTTCAAAAAAGAAGATAGTAGTTCCCCAAATGCAAAATATGTACAGTATGCCTCATTTGTAAAAACTAGAACAATTTGAATTCAGCTCAGCAGCCAGTTACTGAATACCTACTACTATCCTGGCAAAGGAGAGGCCAAAGACTTAGCCCCCGCTGCAGAGCCCCTAGCAGAAGACATGGACTTGGCCACTGCAAGTCTTGGTCCTCACATTCAGAAGTTACTACAAGGCACGATCCTGTTCAGATGCTGCTGTCAAAGCTTTACGCAGAATCTTAAGGCTACACTGACACCTTCAAGGCAGCAAGGTGGTCCAAGCACTCTACTGGGTGCTGGGATCAATCCTCTAAGGCAGGCGTCCTCAAACTACGACTCACCTAGGACAGTTATCTGGCCCGCCGGGTGTTTCTGCAGCCGCTGCCTGTCCTGCTTAGCAGCCGACTCGTCCTGGGGCCCGCAGTCCGGCCCTCCAACGGTCTGCGAGACAGTGAACTGGCCCCCTGTTTAAAAAGTTTGAGGACCCCTGCTCTGAGGTCAAATGCAGAGGATCAAAAAGAAGATCTGCAATGATTACTGGCTCAGTATTTTTGGTTCTTTCTTAAACTTGGTGCACTGGTTGAATTTTAATTCAAGTGACCACAGTTTCTTTCCTCAGCACTGTGGAATCCTTCCAAACCCTGCCTGGAACGGTTAGATCATTCTGTAAGACTGAACAGCTCAGACGCTTGTTGCTGTTTGAAAAGTCTGAACGGTAGTTAATGACTAAGTGCTCGGTCTCATGCAACAGTTTACTGAGCGCTTTCACTTCTTCCAGTGAAAGTTATACTATCTCCCGTTTTCCTGTGATGCTAAATTTAACTTTTAGAAATCTATCGCGGATGCCAAATTAAGTCACAAATCAAATATGGGTATCTCCTAACCATCAGGATGATGAAAAGAAGAGTACGAAGTTTTATTACTATAATTATTTTATCGGGGAGGGGTGTGGGGAAATGTTCAGTTTTTTTTTTTTTCCTTTCACCCGAAAGAGAGGGTACACCAGGTTCCTTTTTTTCTTTTCCTTAAAACAAAACAAAAACAAAACACAAAAAGACAGGGACATAGTCCCAGTAGAACCATCTATTAAAACCACCAATTCGCAACAGACAAATCAATGTCCAGGTTGTCTCCAGGCAAAACGTCCGAGTACCCGGTGAGGCACTGCCACAGGTGGACTCGGAGCAGCCGACGACACTCGGTGGCCGGGATCCCTGCGTCCGGAGCCAGAGGCCACGCGGGCGCGCTCGAGGTCCTGGCCTGGGCTCTTTGTCGAGAGAGGGCCCCATTGCTTCTGCGGCTGGTCGGGGCCGTCCGGTCCCTCATCCCTCCCCCAAGCCGGCGTCCAACGCCCGGGCGCAGGCCACATGGCCCCAGCTCTCACATCACCGCGTCCCCGCAGAAAGCATCCACACCGCGCGGCCCTACCCACGCGGCGAGGGGCCGGGCTTCCCCGGGGCCGCAGACTCCCAAGTCCGCCCTCATCCCCGCCTCCCGAGCTCACCGCTTTGAGATCCAGGACGCCGTCCTTGGCTTCCTGCAGCAGCGACACAAACTTGGTGGTGAGCAGTCCGAGGCTCTTCTCGTGCCTACTGCTGCCGCTCCCGGAGTTCCCGAGCTGCTGCGGCGGCGGCTGCTGCGGGCTCTGCGCCCGGGGAGGCTGCGGTGGCGGCCGCTGGTCCTGCCCCTGCCCCTGCGGCGCCTGCTGGCCGGAGCTCGCGGGCTCCGCCGCCGCCATCGCGTCCGGGCGCCGCGGCGGTCGGGCCCCTGCGCACCGCAGCTCTCCGACCCCTCCCGCGGCCACCTGCCCGGTCTGCTCGGCCGGGCCGCTCCCCCTGCCCGGAGAGCGGCGCTGAGGGTCGCGGCTGCTGCAAACAACAGGTGCGCGGCGCCCACGGGAGTCGGGGCCGCTGGGCGCACCGGGCCTCCGCCCCCTCCCCAAGCTCGGGGAAGAGTGAGTGAAGCCCAAGACGGATGGGGGGCGGCTGGAAGCGAGGAGAAGGGGCGCTGAGGGGTGGGGACCTGAGTTTAAATGGCAGGAAGTGACGCCGCGGCCCGCAGTTGCCTGGAAACGCATTTTTCTGTAGGAAGGAGGAGCGCGCTAGGAGGAGGGGAACGTCGTGGAGAGAGTTTCTCACTCGCCTCCTCGGTGTTAGAGAAATTATGTTCTTACGCAGCAACACTGGGAAGAAGAAAGAAAGAAAAAAAATGTATCCGAGCAGGAAATCACTATGCCCAAAGGCCAGAAATTCCCAAGCAGTGAAATTGTTTGGCTTCTCAGTTTGTATGGCTGCACCACATTAGCCGTCCCACGCTCCATCTTTCACCGGGCAGTTTCTGTTGCCTTTCCTCTTTTCAGGCTAAATTAGCAGCTTTGCAACATTTCGTTGACTTGGACCAGGCTGCACTTGGTTTTCTTTCATAGTCCATCTTTTCAGATTCTGAAAACATAAAAAGTGGAATCATGGAGTTTGGGGGTTGGTTTTAAAGTCTTTTTAAAGGCCTTTGCCTCAAAAAGGTCACACTGACTTGTAGAGAAGGAGAGGTCGTGAATTGCCCTAGATCCCAGATCTCAGTGGGTTCCGACAATGTCCTTATTGTTATAATAACGTATATACATGTATAATAACGTATATACCCATTTATTGCACATATTATATTTGGAATACTAAGTGTCCACAGATAATTGTACTGCAGAGGTAGCCCAAACCATTGACAGCAAATGGCATCACACACATTTGAGTAAAAGAGCGTTTTTTTTCCCCTCACATTATAAACTTGTAAGAATTAAGGATAAATTTTAAATGGCTTGGCTCTCTATGTGGTGCTGGCCACATACACCGAGGCTGGCAAGTCAAACCGGCCCGAGTCTGCTAAACAATAACAACAACAATAACAAAACATAGCCGGATGTTGTGGCGGAAACCTGTAGTCCCAGCTCCCTGGGAGGCTGAGGCAAGAGTACTGCTTAAGCCCAAGAGTCTGAAGTTGCTGTGAGCTATGAGGGTACAGCACTCTACCGAGAGCGACATAGTAAGACTCTGTTTCAAAAAAAAAAAAAATTTTTTTTTTTTTAATGACTTGGTGTTGAAACACTTTGAATGTAGTAGACAATAAATGTTGGGAATACCGACATGAGACAAAAAGAAAGAACACAGCCTCCTGGACGGTGAAACAGCTGTCTTAGATTTATGTACTCCAGAGCATGCGCTTGGACAAAAATGTTGATTATACCTACTAAGTGGAATGTATAATTGGACAAAGTATATTAATAAAATGTGTTTAGATGCTCACATCTCCTTTAATTATTGTGAATCAAGCAATAATTTTAGGCACGCTAAGGGAGACCCCTGCTTTCTCTCCTCGTCAATATTATTGAGCAGCATTACTCCAGAAGAAAAGAGGGACGATAATTAGGGATCACTATTATTATTTTTTATTCTATTGTAACTTTTTTTTTTCTTTTCTTTTTTTTTGAGACAGCCTCAAGCTGTCCCCCTGGGTAGAGTGCTGTGGCATCACAACTCACAGCAACCTCCAACTCCTGGGCTCAAGCGAGTCTCCTGCCTCCGCCTCCCAAGTAGCTGGGACCACAGGCGCCCGCCACAACGCCTGGCTATTTTTTGGTTGCAGCCGTCATTGTTGTTTGGTGGGCCCGGCTAGATTCGAACCGGCCATCTTGGGTGTACATGGCTGGTGCCTTGGCCACTTTAGCCACAGGTGCCAAGCCATATTGTAACATTTTTAATCCTCCACTATTGTCAGCCCATAAATCATAAGTCAGATAGTATATAAATACTTCATGATGATAATCTAACAGTTGAATTAAGTAGTCACAACAACATGTGGATTCACCTACTATTGTTAATTAGGGCTGGATATTCCCTGTTTCCCAGCTCTCAGTGTCAAGATTGAGTACTGGGGGCAGCACCTGTGGCTCAAAGGATTAGGGTGCCAGCACCATATACAGGAGGTGATGGGTTCAAACCCAGCCCCGGCCAAAAGCTGCCAAAAAAAAAAAAGAATGAGTACTGGGCCTGGTAGCTCAAGCCTGTCATCCTAGCACTCTGGGAAGCCAAGGCAAGAGGATCTCGAGTGCAGGAATTTGAGATCAGCCTGAGCAAGAGGGAGACCCAGCCTGTACTAAAAATAGAAAAATTAGCTGGGCATTGTGGCAGGCGCCTGCTGAGGCAGTAGGATCCCTTGAACCTAGGAGTTAAATTGCTGTGAGCTAGGCTCAGGCCAAAACACTCCAGTCTGGGGCAACAAAGTGAGACTCTGCCTCAAAAAAAAAAAGAAAGTACTGGTACCATCTCAAGCCAATGACAGAGTGATTACAAATACAAAGGAATAACGTATATACACATTTATTGCAGAACAGAAGTAAAGGACAGCAAGAATACTAGCCAAGTGGAGTCCCCTGTCCAGTAGTAAAGAACAGACGTCAAAGTCTTAGCCCACACTGGCTTTTATAAAATATTCACTAGATGGTCTCACCTTTCCCCACAGCAGATTTAGCTGTGGGTTTCTGCCTTTGGGGTAATTGACAAGTTGGAGTTACATAACAAACTCCTTATTATGCATGCATTTTTTGAGAATCTTCCAGAAGAACCCATGGGGGTCCAAATCTGCAATGTTAATTGTATGGTAATGAGCCCCAGTCAGTTTGAGGTCACAAGGGACTCCTCACTATGTGTTCAATTTTGGTTCCCAGCCACAATTTGGTTCCTTAGCCGCTTCCTTGCCACCACTTTGCCTTCCATCCAGTGGTTCTCAACCTTCCTAATGCTGCCACCCTTTAATACAGTTCCTCATGTTGTGGTGACCCCCAACCATAAAATTATTTTCATAGCTACTTCATAACTGTAGTTTGCTACTGTTATGAATCGTAATGTAAATATCTTATATGCAGGATGTGTTTTCCGATGGTCTTAAGCGATCCCCAAAGGGGTGGCCACCCACAGGTTGAGAACTGCTGCAAGACGTCTTTGTCACAGATTTATTTACTGGGACGTGGCAGTGATGATACCAACTTAAGAACATTTACTTTTTTTCACTACTCTGAGGATGTTTAAATGTTAATAGAGTTTAATAGCAATGGCTACTTATCCCCTAATACCTCAACAAAAAAGAAAAATGAGAAACTATTACTTGGAAAAAACTGAGGAGCTGGCCGTGGCAGTGAACATATGGAGAGTCTAGAGTAGAAGAGCAGGTGGAGTATGTTTTCTAATTATCTTTCA